CACACACGCACACACACAAACACACAAACACACAAACACACAAACACACAACCACACAAACACACAAACACACAAACACACACACACACACACACACACACGCACACACACACACACCGCCGTCCAAACGCAGGGATGGGGGGGTGTAAACCTCCCGGGCAGGGAAAGGCAGGAGGTTGGAAAGGGAAGCGTCCTAGACCACCTGCGCCCAGAGGGCTGGTGGGATTCCTGGGGCGCTGCCCCAAGAGGGGCCCAGGAGAAGCCCAAGAGGGCCCCGCGAAGCCTCCAAGTTTCGGAACGCACACGAGCTTAAGATGCAAATCGGTGCAGCAGCCATTACGAGTCATCGAAATACCCCTCGCTTCTCATCGAAGCACCATCGTAACTTGCACTGGTTTCCATCTTAAACTTCAATGCGGGAAGCTATGTGCGATGCTTGTGTCCTCGAAGACGGCTGCGCGACTGCATGCGTTATGCCGCCCCTGTTTCACCATCTCCCCTGCTGATCGTTTCTGGATGGGCTGGCGGGGCTACTTTTTTCGGTCGCGGCCGCGAGACAAGGGTCAGGCGGCGAAAGCGCTGGTGGGGATGCGCGAAGAGTCAAGAATAGGACGAGGAGGCCATCGCCCGCCCCTCGTCATCCTCGCATTCGTCCTCCTCGTCTCCATCGTTCTTCTCGTCCTCCTCGTCGTTGTCCTCGTTTTCCTCGTTGCAGTCTTCGTCGGGCTTATTGCTCCCGTGCTCGTGCATTCTCCTCGTTCTCGTCTTAGTTGTCCTCCTCCTCGTTTCTCTCCTCCTCCTCCTCTTCCTCCTCCTCCTCCTCCTCCTTATCCACGTTTGCATCCCCCCTCGTCCTCCTCGCTGTCCGTGCGCCCGCGCGCTCTCACGCGCGACGTCTGCCAATGTTCTGCGCACTTGAGAAGGAAGCATACGGTGAACAAGCCAGGGCCGAATGATATCCACCAGCCCTACGCAAGGACCACCGAGCGTCTGAATCGATCGCTTCATATTTACTCCCTTTGACCGTGAGTCGCAGCCGGGCCCGCGCGTCAACCTTATCGAATATTATGCGTTGGCGTGGCGCCCTAATTAGGCGTTCGCGTCATCCCGTGGCGCCCCGCTGTTCTTGGGAACGCGCGTGCGTTAGAGAACAGCAAGTCAGTGAACGCCTAGACGCCGCATCCCATGGCGGCCTATACATTGCGCCCAATCGCAGACGAACGCGCAAAGGTTTTGGCGCGTGCGCGTTCGGGTTTCGATGGCACTTATGAGTTATAGGTTGCGCATTGCGCATTTCCCTTCCATGCCGAGCGTAATATCGCACGCTTCTTTGCTCAAATTTAAAAGGGCCGACTAAAACTCTAGAGCGCAATTGAAATTTAAGAGGCCCTACTATAGAAGCAAGAATGTTGATGAAAAATAAGAGGGCGATGTTCCCCCCTAGAAAAACAAAAGAATTCTCTTACTTACAAAAGGTTCGGTGGGCTGGGTGGCTAGCTCGCCTGCTGCCCACGCGGCCGCCGCCGCCCAGGTCGACGCCTCTGTCGCCCAAAAGGAAACGCGGGCCTCCCCGCGGGGCTCAGCCGCGGGCCCCGCTGGCCCGCGCCCACAGCACCTGCAAGACGCGCTGGCGACGGCAGCCCGCCGGGACGAGGTCGTCGAGCAGCTCGCTGGTCTCGTTAACCTGCTCGCGCGCGGCCAGGCGCCGCTGGCGGTCGCGGCTAACTTCGCTGGCGACGGCGGCCTGCGCCCGGTGGCCGTCGGCGAGACACTCCGCCGCCTGGCGGGCAAGTGCCTCTGCAAGGAGGCTGCCCGCGACTGCCTGGCGCCCCCGCAGGTCGGCGCGGCTGTCCAGGGAGGCGCGGAGGCGGCCGGCCACGTGGCCAGGCAGTAGTTCGCGCGCAACCAGGGCGACAGGGACAAAGCTTTCGTGAAGCTGGACCTCTCCAGTGCGTTCATCACTTTGGACCGGAGAGCTGTCTTAAGAGCTGCACACGAGGACTTTCCAGCGCTAGCGCCGTGGGTGGACTGGCGCTACGGCAGCCACTCGCATCTTTTCCTCGGCACGCAGACGATTCGTTCCGAGTGCGGAGTCCAGCAGGGCGATCCACTGGGCCGTTGCTTTTCCCCCTGGCACTCCAACGCTGCGCGGAGACGGCGCGCCGCAGCCTCGGGGAGCTCGCGCAGGACGCCGTTCTGGACCTCGTCTTCTTCTACTTGGATGACGGCTGCGCGGCGGGCGACAGACGGGCCGCGGCCGGCTTCCTGCGCCTGGTTGCGGCCGAGCTCGCAGCAGTTGGCCTCCACCTCAGCACGGGGCCGGGCAAGTGCGAGGCGGTTCCTGCGGCGGGGGCAGACAGCAACGCGCCCGCGGCCGACTTCCCGCCAGGCTTCCGACTGCGCCACAACGGCTGTCTTGAGCTCTTCGGCGCGCCTATCGGGGGCGACGAGTTCTGCCGCCAGCACACGCAGAAACGGGTCGACAAGGCAGCGGAACTCCTGGACGCGCTGACTGGCTTGGGGAACGCGCACGTTGCCCTCTGCCTTCTCCGGCAGCGCGCCTCCAACTGCAAGCTCCGCTACTCAGCGCGCGCGGTGCCGCCCTCCGCCCACGCAGAGGCCCTCCAGGAGATGGGCGCCGCCGTCCGCTCTTGCTTGGAACAGCTGGCTTGCGCCTCGCTCGCAAATGACTCTTGGGCACGGGCGCAGTTCAAGCTGAACCTTCGAAGGGGGCCTGGGGCTGCGCTCCGCCGAGAAGCACTCGCCGGCAGCCTACCTCTCCTCGCGCGCCGAGCGCAGCGAGCTCTGCCAGCCCATGCACGCGGGCTGCGCAGACGACGACGCGGGCGACGCAGGGGCCCTGACCACGGCGCTCCAGGCCGACAGCGCCAGCGTGGAGGAGGCAGACCGCGCCCCCGCACTCCAACCAGAAGACTCTTTCGGACAAGGTCGACGACGCCTCGCGCGCCGCCCGCTGGAACCGCTCCTCGCCCGCGACGGGTGCCTACCTCGCCCCGCTGGCTGCGCCCGGCGCCGGCGCGCACCTGCAGGCGCCCCCCTGCGAGGCGTTCGGCACGGCGGTCTCTCACGGCCTGATGCAGATCGGGATCAAGCGGCGGCTCAGGGTCCAGCTGATGGACGAGGAGGCGTTCTGCCCGGCGCTCGAGGAGGTCATGGACGTGCACTGTGACCACACCTTGACGTGCGCTTGCCAGGGCGACCGCGCGCGCCGCCATAACAAGCTCCGCAACGGCGCCTTCTTTGACGCCCAGGCAGCGGGCTTCTCGGGGGCGGAGATGGAGCGGCCCAGACTGCTGCCGCCGCCGGCGACGGGCCGGGCGCGGAGGAGCTGCACGGCGACGGCCTGGACAACGACGGGCGCCGCCCGGCGGATGTCTACGTCCCCCGGTGGCGCGGCGGGCTCCCGGCCGCCATGGACTTCGCGGTCACGTCAGGCCTGCGCGCCGACCTCCTGGCGCAGTCCGCCGGGGACCCAGACGCTGCCAACACCAGGTACGAAAAACAGAAAAAACAGCACCAGGGCACGGCGCAGGCCTGCTGGGACGCCGACGTCCTCTTCATCCCGATGGTGGTGGAGGCGCACGGCGGGAGCTGGGGCGGCGAGGCGCGGCGCGCCTTCGCCGTGTTGGCCAAGCGCGTGGCCGACGCGCGCGGGGAGGCCGCCAGCGTGGCGGACTAGATGGCCCAGCGACGCTCCGTCTCAGAGCGCGCGGGCCATTCTGCAACGGCTGCAGTAACAACGGCCGGGGGCGACCGCTAGCCGCGGCGGTGGCGGTGCATGCGGCGGCGGCGGAAGCCGTCGCGTGAGGCGCCGAAGAGGACAGCGAGGCGAAGGAGGAAGAGGACCAGGACGAGGACGAGACCACGAGGAGGTGACCGTGGAGCGCAGAGGGAACCCAGAGAAGGCAGGAGGAGGCGGAGGCGGAGGCGGAGGAGGGCGAGGCGAGAGGAGAGGAGGACGGCGGCGAGGAAAGGTGCGGAAGGGGTGCGACTGGCCGCGCTGCGGGAGCGTGGCTGCGAGGCTGGGAGGCGGCGGCGCCCCCAGGACTCGGAGAGCAGCTCCGAAGAAGAGGAGGAGGAGGAGGAGGAGGAGGAGGAGGAGGACCAGCAGGAGGAGAGCCGCGCAGGCCGTAAGGGCACCCGTGCTGCTGCGAAGAAGAGGAGGCGGAGCCGCAACGCCAGAAGCGCGGACGACGTGAAGGCAGCCAAGCGGGGACGCAGCAGGAGGCGCCGCGGCGAGGCCGCGAAGGCCGCGAAGGCCGCCGGAGGCGCCGATAGCGCCACGCGGCCGCCAGCGCGAACAGGTGCCGCGGCGAAGTGCCCAGAGGAAGGCGCTCGCGGTGAGCGGGGGCGCGCGGCCGACCTGTCCACGCGTACTGCTACAAGCGGTTCCTGTATACAAAGACAAAGGCCCCTGCACAATTTGCGTTTCGCCGTGGTGGCAGATTCCTGGGGGCCATGAGACTGCGTCGGGGGCCTCCGGGGCGCCAGCGGGCCGCCGTCCCGCGCCCGGCGCGCCCTGCGCCCCCGCGGGGTGCTCGCCTAGTGGCCTGGCGCCGGCGCAGCCGCCTGACGGCCCCGTGGCAAATATGCTTTGTTCAAGGGATTTTGAAGGTTTGTCGTGTTCTCGCTTTTTCGTGCTTCCGACGGTCCAAAACAGCCCACGAGGAGGCAACCTTACGCGGTAGCTTACGCGGGCCGTCAGCGCGGCCCGCTATCCTGGAAACGAGGGCGCGTGCGCGCGACCTTGCGCGGGCAGCTAACGCGCGAATGTCCACGCAATCGACAACGTTTGTCTGCGCCGCCTACAAAACCTGCGGGGCTCCGCGCGGGTTTCTCGGATCTACGCTGGGCCCCACTTCCTGGCACGCGGAGCGCGCCAGGGACGGCGCCGGAGGCGCCGCCGGGAAGGTCCAAAACGGATTCTTCTGCGTCCAACTCCGCAGGCTTCTGCCCGTGCAGAGTTTTCTCATCCGAACTCCTCTGCCCAGTCGGCCTCCGTCCCGTCGAAGCCCGTCACCACGGCGAAGGCGCGCATCTCGCTCTCGCTCAGGACGCCGTCGCCGTCGGCGTCGAACCTCGCGAACGCCGCCCGCACGAGCTGCGCACGCGGCGGGGCATGCGCCTCGGCCTGGGCGGCGGCGGCGGCGGCGGCGCCGCCCGACGCGGCCGCGTGGTCCACCGGCGCGGCCGCGGCTGGCTCTCTCCCCTCCTCGTGGAAAGCGCGCGTCTGTCGGAGCAGGGCGAGTGGAGACAACGGCAGCCAAGAGGCAGATAAGCCTGCCTCCCTTGTTGGCCACCAGCGCTCCCAAACGGGAAGCAAAACGATGCCTGACTGCCCGTGGGGTGACCCGCAGCGGTCAGGCTGCTCCGACGAGGAGGCGCGTGGTGTGACTTGGTTGCACCTGGAGGCCACAGCGGTACATTCACCCGAGCTGCGCCCAGCCGTGGCGACAAGGGCCGGCCCTGAGCGAGGGAGGGAAGCGAGAAGGAGAAGGCGTTCTCAAAGGCGGCGGGGCTTCTCAGAAGCCCTCGCGCCGTCTGAGAAATTTCAGGCCTCTTCGGGGAAGGCTTGGAAAACCTCTCAGGAGGCCGGGGGACTTCCGAGACTCCCGAGGTGAGTGTTTCTTGATTCGGCGTTTCGACATCGGGCGGAAGGGGGCGGGAAGGGGGGGCATGTCTGCGGACCTCTGCTTAGCGCGAGTGCTTGGAACCGTGCGTCCTACAGGGTAGAGGGGCTCCGCCTGCCCGAAACAGGCGCCAGAAACGGCCAAGATCTACTCCATGGGGGTGATGCGAGTGCCCGCGCCGATCGGCAAAACAATGGATAAAAACACCACCTGTGTGAGCATCGTTGAACCGTTCCCTATCCCCACTGGCGTGGCCTGGGCCCCACGGGCCCGTTCCCTATCCCCACCGGCCGATTTGTGTCCCCTGGATGGGGGTAATGGGCCGTTGTCTTCGGGCTTCTAGGGGTGTGTCCCCCCCAACGGGGGTGGTAATTTGTTGGGGGTCTCGGAGGCGATGGAGATGGGGATGGGGATCGGATGAACGATACCTATATATATATATATATATATATATATATATATATATAACTGTTTTCCCTGCCCGAAGCCGCGGCAACGATCACGAAACGGGCGACCGGAGCACGGCGAAAAACTGTGGGCGTATTACGCCGAAACATCTGAGCTAAGCAGGGCTAGGAGGAGGAGGAGGAGGAGGAGGAGGAGGAGGAGGAGGAGGAGGAGGAGGAGGAGGAGAAGGAGGAGGGGGGGGGGACGAATCCCCCCCCTTGCTCGCGGTCGCCTGCAGGCCAACCGCCGCCGTCGCAGCTCGCCCTCCTCCGAGTCTGGGCGCCCGGTGCAAGCGGCGCTGGTGGCGCCCCGGCGGCGCGGGGCGCGGCCCGCGGGGGCGGGGACGGGCCGCCGCCCAGCCGCGTGCGCTCCTTGGGGGGAGGAGGAGGAGGAGGAGGAGGAGGAGGAGGAGGAGGAGGAGGAGGAGGAGGAGGAGGGAGGAGGGAGGAGGGAGGAGGGAGGAGGGAGGAGGGAGGAGGCATGCGAACCCGACCCCGGCCCCTCCACGATTTTTCTGAGGGCCAAGCGAAGTGAACCCCACCCTCCCCCACAGAAGACGGGGGCAGGGGCAGGGTTCGCACGTGGCCCCCCACTCCTGGCGTGCCCGCTCGACCTCGGCCAACAGGACCTCCAGCTCGTCGACGCTGCAGAAGCAGCCGGCGTCGCTCTGGTCGTCCACCAGGGAGGCGAACGCGTCCAGGCTCACGCAGCCGCCCAGGCAGCTGCCGCAGAGGGAGGCAAACTCCTAGGGAGAGCAGAACCTGCACTCAACATACGAGCTTCCAGAAGCCTGCGCGGACCTCCGAAGGTGTATGGTTGTGCCGTTTGTTCCTTCTTCGACTCCTGCGCCCACTCATGGTCGCTGCCTTGGAAGCCCGTCTTCTCCGCAAACACCCGCATCTCATGCTCGCCTGAGGGGCAGCGATAGGGGGATGTAGGCTTGGGGGGGACGCATCGGCCTCGAATGGCCGATGCCTGGCCGATGTATTGGACCAGGTGCATGAACACGAGCTGGGCAGAGTGCCCTGATATCAACGAGGCATCGTCGATGTATCAAACAGCTATATCACACCATGGGAAAAAAAACAATCAGTGGGTGGTTTTCGAGAAAAGATATCGACCGGGAACCCTGAAACCGGGAACCCACCGAAATCGGCTCGAAACCAATAACCAGGAACCCGGGAACCGGGAACCCGAGAACTCAGCAAGCCACCAAAATCGGCGGGACACTTTCGCCAAATCTCTCAATTTCCGCTAGGACCCCTTCAGTGCAAGCACTGACTGGGGAATTGATGTCAGCCATTCCAGGTCGATGTGCCCCCCCCTGTGCTTATCCCCCGTATCGTTGCCCCCTGTCGCCGAGACAGCCGTCCGCGTCCGCGTCCAGTGCGCGGAACACCGCGGCGACCAGGCGCTCACGGCGATCGGGCGCGGGGTCGGCCGGGGCTGCCCTCGAAGCCGCCTCTCCTGGAGCGGGGCCCCGCCTAGCCTGGGCGAGCTCGGACAGCAACCGGCAAAGCTCCTGTGTGAGCATCGTTTAGCCGTTCCCTACGTCAACGTTTTTATTCGGCGTTTCGACGTTGGGCTGAGGGGGGGGGAAGGGGGGGATCTGGCTCTGGACCTCTGCTTAGTGCAACTGTTTGCAAGCAGTGCATCCTACGGGGTAGGGACTCCACTTGCTCGAAACAGGCGCCAGGAAGAGCCAAGATCTACTCCATAGGCCGGGGGGCGGAAGGGGGGGTGCGAGGGCCCGCGCCGATCGGCAGAACAATTGATAAAAAACACCACCTGTGTGAACATCGTTTAACCGTTCCCAATCCCCACTGGCGTGGCCTGGGCCCCGATTGCTGTCCCCAAGATGGGGATGTGGGCTGTTCCCTTCGGGTTTCGAGGGGCCTCCTCAACTGGGGTAGTGGGACTGGTGGGCGGATACACCATTGCCCTGTGGACGTGGGGACAGGTCAAACGATCTGACGTTCGGGGATCCGCGCAGATTTCTCGCATCTGCCTTGGCCCTCCCTGGCGGCGCCGCGGGCGCCGACCCCTGTCGCGTTCCGGCCCAGCGCCGATCCAAACGATCCGCGCGGCGCTCCGAAAGGTTGTGCTCATTTTGACTTATCTTGTTCGATCCTCGTGGGAGCAGAAGCAGCCAGCCTCCGACTGGTCGTCCAGGAGAGCCCTGAAGCGCTCCAGGGTCAGCCCCATCGCGAAGTCGCCAGCGCAGAGAACCTCGAACTCCCTCGCCCACTCCTCGCCCGAGCCCTCGAAGCCGGTGCGGCGCGCGAACCGCTCCATCTCCTGCTGATCATGCAAGAAACCACAAGCACAATCTGGCGGAGCTCCGCGCTGTAGGTTCTCCGGTGAGATGTCGAGTTTGGGGCGACGGTTGCGAATAGGGCTTCAATCCGAACGCGCTACTGGAATACGTAGTGAAAAACATAGTACACAGGCGCTTCCTGAGCACGGAGATCTACAAGAGGACGACGAAGAGGACGAGGGGGGCGGTGCGGAGGTCGAGAAGGGGGGAGAGTCCAGGAGCATATCGGCTACGAATACGAGGGCAGACCAGCAAGGAAGGATAGGAGCAGAAGGAGAAGCGGAGCCTCTGAAGACGAAAAGCAAAAAGGAGGACAGAGGACGGGCCACGGTGCCCCTCGTCCACGTGTGCACCTCCTGGTGGCCTTCAGCCCATCCTGCCACCGTGCCTGGGATGCTCGTCAGAGACCTCTTGGATGCCTGTTGGGATCTTTCGGGCAGCCTCTGGGCGACTTTTTGGAGGCAGTTTTGAAGCCCCTTGGGGGCCGTTTGGAGGCCTCTGAGGCCACCTCTTTGGTCTCTCGGTGGCCTTTAGGGTCCACTGGGGGGGTCATGAGTACCTGCGGGCAATCTCCTGGGTTCTCTCGGGGCTCGAGGCCTCGAAATATGAGGACAGAGAGGAAAGGCCACCGTGCCCGCCCCTCGTCCACGTGTGCCCCTCCTGGTGGCCTTCTGCCCATATTTCCCCCATGCCTGCGTTGTTGGTGGGAGGCCTATTGAATGTCTGTTCGGATCTCTGAGGGAGCTTCTGGGGAGCCTCTTGGAGAGTTTTGAGGCCTCCGGGGTCGCCTTTCGGGGCCCCTTTTGGGCCTCTTGAAACCTCTGGGGGCGTCTTTGTCCGCCCGCTGGCGGTCTTCGGGGTTCTGTTTTCTTGGGGCGCAGGCCTCGAAATGTGGGTTCGCATTCCCCACCTTGGGCCCTTCTTAGATCCTTGAGGCCATCTTGGGCGGTACTGGGTGCCTGTTTGGCCGTCTTGGGGCCCTCTTGGCCTGTCTTGGGCCCTCTTGGGGACCTCTTCGGCCGTCTTGGGACTCTCTTGGGGTCCTGTGGTTTTGGACACTGTGCAGATGAGAACATCGAACTTGCTATCAATGTGAATTGTCCAACGGTGACTGGGACGAGTTTCGCCTCTTCGGACCCTTGTGGGGGCCCTCTTGGGCCATCTTAACGCCATCTCGGGGCGTCTGGAAGCAATCAGGGCCCATCTGAAACCTGTGTGGAACCCACCCGAAAGGTCCAGGGGGGCTGGCGAAGCTCCAGGGAGGCTCCAGAGAGGCCCTGGGGGGGAGAACTGAGTGTATTTCAGTGGCCCCTGGTGTGCTGCGGCCCGAGGGGCCCTGGGCCCTGGGACAAGGCTTCCAGTATGTACGAGGAGTTCCTGCTGGTCCAGCAGCCCGTTGCCGTCTGCGTCCAGCGTGTCGAACACGTCTCCGACGAGCTTGCGCCGCGCCAGCCCGTCGGAGACCGAGCTAGACGCCGCCGCCTCGCCAAAGGCCAGGCGCTCTGGCAGCTCCGACGGCCGGGTGAGCCCAGCATGCAGGGCGAGGAGCTCGGCCTCGGTGAACTGGTACACGCCGTCACTGGACTCGTCCATCCGCCACCGTGTGCCCCGAGATCCGAGCGCTGCAACTCTTTTACACACTGGGAGTGTTCGCCCAATTTCGGGCCCCTGGGACCATCGCAGATCGGCCCGGCTCGACAAATGCAGCAGAACGATGACGTCTAGGGCCGCTGACGCAATTGTTAACGATGTTTCAATGGTTTGCGACCTCGGATCGCAGGGTCGTAACCACGCCAGGGCGTGTCGGAATGCTTCCCTGTTGCATACCAGGAGAGGCTCCCGTGGTTTATCCAGGGTCGGCCGACTTCTCTTACCCGCGCACGTCCTCGACAAAACACAAATTCTCTGACGTTGCTCTTTGGCGTCGATTCCGCCTTGCAATACGACCCCAAAAGGCCAGAGGCCGTCCCAAAACGGAAATTCAAAAACGGTCCAACGAGCTCCCGAGGGCTCCGAGATCTTCTGGAGACGCCGCAGGGGGCAACAGCACGAACATGGGACGCAGAGAAACATTACCCATCGGTCGGAAAAAGTACGTAGGTAGAGACATGAAGTAGGAAGGCAGTGAAAGTAGATTGGGTGTCATCCCGCCTCCTGAAGAAGGCGGAAAAGGGGAAACCACTCGAGGGTTGAAGTAGGAAGGCGCTTAAAGTAGATTGGGCCCTGGGGATCCGAAAATACATACTTGCAACGACCGAGGGGTAGACGTGCAGTGCTTTTGCGGGGGGGGGGGCACGCGTCTGTTCGACTGAAGGAACCCTGAACGAGGAACGACGGGAGGTTTTTTCCGACGACGGGCCTCGGCCACGAATGGGCTACCCGACCTATGCCTAAGGAGCGGCCCGGCATCCAGAGCCCAAAAACAAAAGGTCCTCCTCCTCCTCCTCTTTCCCCCCTTCCTCCTCCTCCTCCTTCTCCTCCTCCTCGTCCCTGCCTCCTCCCCATCCTCCTCCACTTTCCCCTCTTCCTCCTCCTCCTCATCCCCCTCCTCCTGAACTCAACGTTGGGGAAACCTAAAGGTACCCATACCGCAACTCCACAGACTTCTCCCGTGGTGCGTCCCGACAAGGATCTCGAGGCGAATCCAGCAGTGGTGACGGGGGCCGCCCAGGAGGCCCCAAGGGGGGGAACGAGCGAAGGGCAGCGGCATGGGTACCCTCGCGTGGCCCCTGCTTCGGCGTCACAGCTGCACTATCGCTCGCGCACGGGAGGAGGCACGCGGGGAGGGCGCGCCGGGAGGAGGCGCGCCGGGTGGGCGCACGGGGAGGGCGCGCGGGGAGGAGGGCGCGCGGGAAGGGCGCGCGGGAGAGAGGGGCACCGTCCGAGGAGACGCCTGCTCGCAGCTCCGCGTGCCGCTCCCCGCCCTCTCCCTCCTCATGGGCGGCCACGAGTTGCCGAGAAACCGAGAGCCGACCGAACCGATGACGAAACCGAAACCGATCGAAACCGAAAGGGGGCCTGCAGAACCGAATCAGCCGACCGAAACCGACCGAACGCGAAAACCGAACTGCAGGGTCACAGTGGCGCAGCCAGCATGCGCTCTCGCTCCCCGCGACGGCGCACCCCTCCCACGCTTCATGGCCCCATCAGAGCTCCGCTAAAATTCCCAGCGGCGCAGCCCGCGCGCGCTCCCGCAAGGAACTTCGGCGAACCCCTCGCAAGTTTCGCAAGGATCGCGAGCAAGAGCGCGGGGGACATCCTGGGCATCGGTCGGGCGCTCCCAGAAGCAGCGCGCTGGAAGCCGGGCTCTCGAGGGAAGCTCGGGCCAGACGGGCGGCGGAAGCGGCGGATGTCTGAATCTCGGCGGACTTCCAAACCCCCAGGACCCGAAAATCAATTTCTCGAGCTCCGGAGCCCCCGGCAGCCGAAAAAACATGTTTCGGGGCCCGAAAAGTTGTTTTTCTCTCCCTGGGTTTTCGGCGCCTCCGGGGAGTCTCCGGAGCCCCCCGGAACCGAAAAAACATGTTTCGAGGCTTGAAAAATTGTTTTTCTCTCCCCGGGGCCTTCGGCGCCTCCAGGGAGCCTCCAGAGCCCGCGAAAGCATTTTTCGAGGCCTGAAAAATTGTTTTTCTCTCCCCCGGGGCCTTCGGCGCCTCCGAGGAACCTCCAGAGGCCCCGGAAGCCGAAAAACATTTCTTCGGGGGCTGAAGAATATATTGTTGTTCTCTCCCCGGAGCCTTCGGCGCCTCCATGGAGCCTCCGGAACCCCCACGAGCCGAAAAAACATTTTTCGAGGCTGGAAACAATGTTTTCTCTCCCCGCGGGGCCTTCGGCGCCTCCAGGGAGCCTCCGGAATTCCCGTGGAAGAAGCGTTTTCGAAGCCTGGCCACGGGGCAAGATTTATCCGGCCAACGATGCGCCACTGCGCGCATCCGGCCAATCAGCCAACCAACCTCCTTGCTCCTGCTCCTGCTCCTCCTCCTCCTGCTCCTTTCCTCCTCCTCCTCTTCCTCCTCCCTTTTTCTTCAAAGGGAAAGGCCAAGCGGAATCAGATCGGCGCGAATCCGTGGGCAGCGAAACTCGGCTTTTCAAACATGTGGTTCTGAGAGATGTGGCCCTAAGGATACGGACCCCTTGAAAAACAAATGCCGCACCCGAGCGCTACAACGCAATAGGGTGTCGAAGCGACGAGCCGTGATCGCTCTCTCGCGCAGCCCGCAACAGCGACAAGCTGGCCCAATGTAGCGCCAGCCGCGCCGCTCTGCCCCGAAAGAGGCGCCCGAGCGCCAACAAACAGAACATTGCTTTCACGCGCAAGCGAAAGCTGGCGGTGCGCCATTGACCGCATTCGCTGGATTTGCGCACGCTGCCTGCAACGGCCTCGCACTGGCCTCAAATCGGCAGAGCGCCCGAAGGCAATCAACATGGCGACGCCTACAAATCGAGCAACTTGCCAGCCTGAACAAATCGCGGCCCCGTGCCCCTGGCCACGATCGCTAAAATAAAAAGCACCGCCGCCCACCGAGTGACGTCGAGGCGGCGGCAGTCGCGCAGTGTAACGTTGGACGCCTGTGCCGCAGCGTCTGCGTCGAAATGCATGCGCCAGAGTATATCCGCGACAATCGTTGACAGTTCCATGCGCGGGCGCAGCGCGCTTGGACTGAGGCGCCAGGCCCTTCTCGAGCTCTCGCGAGGCAACTTGGCCCCCAGATGGCAAGGGGTGCCGCCGAAAGTGGCTTCACTAACCACCTAAGTGCGGCGCGCGGTTCAAAGCACCTAGCTGCGGCGCGCCCGTCCGCCCACTTCACCGGGGCGCGGCGCCCCTTGGATTGAGCCGTGAACGAGGATCGATTGAGCCAAAAGGGCTACGTTGGGAGAAGGGCGAGGAGGATGGAGGATGGGGGAGCGCAAGAAAGGCAAAGGGCAACCGAGAGGTGAGGGGCGACGAAAACGGGAAAGGAGGAGAAAGGACGGACAAAGGAAAAAGCTAGAGAGAGGCACGGGGGATAGAGGAAGCAAGGAGTTAGGCAGGGGGGGGGGGGATACAGGGACAGGGCGATGGGGGGCAAGGCCGTGCATAAGCACCCCGCCCGCTTGCTGCACCCCCCCTGCGCCGAGCCATCGGCGCACGTCCGCATGGGCGCGCGAGCGCGCCGCCACGGGCGACGATCGCGGCACTAGAATTGCGCCATCCTTCCAGGGCCGAATAGGGGGGGATCGCCTTTCCGAGGCCGCCTTCGACACCGCGCTTGCGGCGCCCCCGCTGGCAAGAGGGGGCAGGGGAAGGAAGGGGTCATTGGGGGGCAGGGTAGAAAGGGGGGGGAGGGGCAGAGGACGTCAGCCTTGCGACCTTGAGGGCGCACTCGCGGCCTGGAGATGCACGGCCCCGCCGTCCGCGCGCCCACTCATTCACAGCTCATCTAAACGAAACGCCCCCCTCTTCTACTGTCTCCCTCACGTTGCAATGCCGCCGCGACGGCCCGATTAGCGTCGGCTGCCCGAGTTCTTCAATCGAAGATAAAGCAACTGCCAGACACTGGGCAAAAAAAAAAACTGATCAGACGTGCACCGTGGAACACGGACCCTGCCCGGGTCAGAACAACTGGTGGCACCTGCGTCCGTTGCATAAGCGGCAAGGCCCTTGTGACACGATTGGCGCGCTACGCAATTTCCCTACGGGGGCATTATCCGAGGCCTGCCAGGGTACTTTTGAGCCCCCCAGCGGACTTCAAGAGCCGCTCCAAGAGGTGCCAATATGGCTCCTGACAGCCCCGCGAGGGTCCTGAGAGGGCCCCAAGGGGGGTCCGCCGCGGGGCTCTTCGCTAGGACCGCCGCTGGGCCCAAGGATTCCCAAGTATACGACCCCAGGAACCCGAGAGATGTAGTGCAAAGAGTCCGCAAGAGCGGCCCCAAGAATTCCCAATTGAACCCAAGAAGGCCTAAATGAGGCCCCCGCGGGGGTCCCGAGGCGGGCCCCTTGGGTCGGCAGCCCACGGGCCCACGGAGACCCAAGGAAAGGACCCAAGGAGCCCCGGAGGTGGCTGACGAGCTCCCCACCAGAGAACCCCTTGTGGAGCATCCATACAAAGCGCAAGAAGGCCTTCAAACTGCACCCAAGCCCGACCACGGGGCCCAGAGGGGGGCCAGACAGGCCGTCTGTCCTCCTCCTCCTCCTCATTATCTTCCGTTTCCCCCTCCCTTCCCATCCTTCCCCGCCCCCGTCTGCGCCGCCTGACCCCCCTGCGGCCCGACTGCGACTGGGCGGGGCGCTCCCGGGCTGGGGACATCGGGGGAGGCGGTAGCCTGCCGAAAATGTACGAAACGAATAAAGACGATGCTACAAGCAAGTGGCTTGAGTGCTAGATTCCGGCTGAAATCCGAATGGGCCGTGCAACCCGCGGTGCTAAATTTCATTCCACAAGTTTCATAGACGTCGGATCGAGCGGCGAAGCAGGCCCGCGAGCCTGCGCACAAAGCACGCATCGAACAGCCCCTGCATCGACGCCCCGAAAGCCGCTGTCGCGATCGCAGCCGTCGCCGCCATCACTACCGACGATGCTGCACGATCGTCGAACACCCTGCCGCGCTAGGGCGCAGCAGCAACGCTCGCCACTGCTGGTCGCCGGCAGCGCGGCGGCCGCTCGAGGTGGGCAGTTGTTCCCCCTACGCTGCGAGCCACGAGCCCCGACTCGAGGCTCGACGCATCTTCTGCGCCCGCGAACAGGCGGGCGACGCGGAAGCCTATCTAAACAGGCCTTTGGAACGTGAATGGACACTCCCCGCCGTGCTTTCTACAGTAGCTAGCCCAGAGTGTCTCAAGCATGTCAACCATGGCACCCCAATCGTCGAACCCGCTCCTGCTGCCGTACGAGCGAGAACGCTCCCCGTCTAAGTAGGGCGCCGCGATTCTCCACCTGTTCTCCCTGCGGTCATCCTTGCTCAGACGTGACCCAGGTGGTTTGTACTGCTGCGACTGGATCTCGCTGATGCCAGTGGCAACGACCCGGACGAACCTCCTCTGGCGGGGGGCGCCGCCGGTGGCCGCAGAAGATGAGGAAGCCGCGCTGGCGTGACTCAGCTTGGCGAGCTCAGCTAGCTTCTTCGCCTCGGCTCGCTGCGCCGCCTCGCGCGCGGCCCTCAGCTCCTCGAGGTGCCGCTTGAACTCCGATTGATCCTCATCGAGGTCTTCCTGCTCGACGAAAGGGCTCGCATCGCCGAACAAAGCTGTCTCGCTTACGAGCTGGGCCTCATCGGGCTTCCTGCCGCGTTTCATCAACGCCTCCTCCAAAACCTTCTCGCTGAAGGCGTCCCCGAGGACGTGCTTCAAAAGCGATGTCATCAATGGCGCTTCGGTGCTCGGCCGAGGTTTGCCAGCCCATGGGTTCACGACCTCCTTGTGTAGCTGTTTGAGCCAGTGCACCGTCATGCCCCTGAAACCTCGCAGGGCCGCGAATTTCAACGCCGACGCGGCCTTACCTCCGAATTTGAGCTGCAGTTGGGAGCCCTGCCCCTTCAAGGTGCCTGGCGGGAGCACGTCGATCTCTGCAGCCGACCACTCATCCGGCTTTGTGATGTAATCGAAATTAGAGGCCGTGCTCGGGTTGGGCGCAAGTCGCAAATCAAGGGTGCCCTGCTGTATCGGCATGCGCACCGAAATGATCCCATGACTACTGACATGGAGCACCACCCTGGACACCTGGGTCGGCTTATGGATCAGAAAGGTTCCCGGCACAGCCAGCAAGCTCATCCAGGCTTTCTGCATGTGCTTCCACTTCCCCTTGGTACTCATCGCAAACTCCCACATGATCGGGAGCTCATTGAAACGTCGGGGCCCTGTGAGGGCCAAGTTTGTTTTTTCGTCAGTGCAGCCAGCGTTTCCTCGCCAGCGCTGAAATTATGACCCCTGGCGTTGAACACGTGCGACGGTACACTGTCGTCTGTGGTTGCTTGGCCTTCCACGGACACCGGCAACGATGGGCGGTCGAAAGTCTCCAGGACCTTGCTACCGAAGGCACCGCAATGCCAGATAGCTTCTGGAGCAATCTTGCCGGATGTGTTCTTCCTAGATAAAGCCCGACCTGCATTGAACATGTTTTCGACGGCGAGCGTGCTCCAGTTCGCGGACACGTAGTTCTGGATGTCCGCCAAAATGTCAGGAGGCACGCTTTTTAAACCGACCTCAAAGAGCCTCGTCAAGATCTCTCGGGGCCACTGCTGCACGGGCCATTGCATGGACTCCAACCAGTCCTTGCAATCATTGTCCCGTATCGCCTCCTCCTCTAAAGCAACGTAGACGCTCCAAGCATCCTTCATGTAGTTCAACCACGCCTCGTGGTTCTCATCCTTGGGGCCCAGGGCGCCGACGAAGCGCTGGGGAGGGAACTTCGCGAACGCAGAGGCGGCGGCGCTGATCTCCCCGACCAGCGCGACCACGAAGGAAAACGCGCTGCGGAGCACCCTCTGGTCATGTTGTTTCTCCATCGCAGTGCGTTCGGACGGCGTTCGATGGAATTCGAGGTGGGAGGCAAACTCGGGCGACAGAAAATGCACCAAAACACCGTGAGCGGCCTCGTACAGACTTCCCCTCTGAAGTCCGATTCGCAGATCGGCAGCGCCCGCCTGCGTGTGCAGCTGGCACATGGCATCGAAAAACCACTTTTCGAACGGTCGAGCGGCACGTGCAAGCGCGCCCCACAGCCTCGTTCGAGCGAGGCGAAGGCGAAGAATTCGAAAGGAATCGCATGCAAAAACGATCGCAAGAAACAGCCGCCAGAAAGGCCACGCCGCCACCCTGGGAGGCGGTGGGAGCGCAAAGTTGTCTTTCCCCTTGCGATGCCCCCGCCCCAGAATCCGAAAAGGCAATTGCGTTGATCCATCTGGGGCCTCTGGGGCCCTCCTGACGCCCCTGGGAAGTGGATGGGGGGGGGGGGGGGCTGGCGAAGCATTGGTATAGAACGAGGGGGCATCCCTTATTCCTGGCCCTTGCCCTTTTCGCCCTAAACCCAAACTCCCTTTCACGTCCGCCCCCGCCCCCGCCCGTCACCGCCACCCGCGCCCCACCCTCGAGCCACCTCGGGCCCGCCGAGCGTCGCGCCGGGGAGCGTGGGCCATGAGGGCCCCCGACGTCGGCATTTTGTGTTTCCCCTGTCCGCCCCGCTTGCTCGTCGCGCCCCAAAGCTCTCCGCGACGCTCGCGAAGCGCCCCGCGCGGATGCGACGCAATCTAGCCATGGTGCTCTGGCACCGCGGCAATCTTCTAGCCACAGCGCGTAGCTGACGCAAGAAAACCAGCATCGCCAACGGCGTGAGCAGGTGGCGGGCAGGCGCGGCGATGGCAAACCAAAGGGGGATGGTGGGGGCCGCGGAACGGAGAAGAAGAAGGGGGCGCACAGGGTGGAGAGCCTGAAGAGCAACCGGAGCAGAAAACAGGGCGACGCCCTTCTAAGCCACACTGCCCCTGGAGGCACCGGAAGGCAAAAGAGGGCGCCACACGAGGGCCGCGGGAAAGCTCAAGTCAGGCCCAGGCGAACCCGGCGCCCACCAAAACCTCAGAGGAGGAGGAGGAAGAGGAGGAGGAGGAGGAGGAGGAGAAGGAGCAGGAGGAGGAGATGGAGGGGGACACACCAAGTCCGAGCAGCGTCAAAAGGAGGAAGAGGAGGAGGAGGAGGAGGAGGAGGAGGTGGAGGAGGAGGTGGAAGAGGAGGACGAGGCGGAGGAGGAGGCGAAGGAGGAGGAAGAGGAGCAGCAGCAGCAGCAGCAGCAGCAGCACGATGAGGACGAGGAGCACGGCAAACGACGGTGGGTGCGTGACTCCCCCCGGATTCCCCCCGAGCTAGGTCCTCAGCGATCCTACCAGAGGCCCAGACCGTGGGCGGCGGAAGCGGCGGAAACCCAATTGACCGAATCGACCGCGTCGGCGTGACTAATCGAAATCGGTCGGGGAAAGGCCTAATCGGCTCCGAAATGGGGGCCGCGCCCAATCGGCCGATCGCAAACGAATCGGATCGGACGGGCTCGACCAAAATCGGCGGTCGTGTCCAGGGGCCCTGGCCTCACGCTCACCGGCTTGAGCAACGCCCCCAAAGCAAACTTGAGCAAGTTTGCGCATTTGCTCCTGGTCTCTTTAGCCTGCTTCTGGCCCTCGGCAACGGTGACGGGTTCCACGAGCAACTCGCCCCCCCCTGGGGGTTCCCCTTGCTCGCCCCCCTCGACGTCAGGGGACTCCTCGGCCTCTCCAGGGAGCGGCTCGTCGGGCAGCCCGTCGGCAACGCAGATCGCTTGCCGGTGAAAGAGCGGGCAGTCCTCGAACGTGTTCCACCACTTTCGCCGCCATCCTATCCACAGCAGCACTAAGACGTCAAGCCAGCGACTTGCATGTCCCCGCCTGGACTTCCATTCGAAAGTGAACCACCTGGAATTCTTTACATCTTCACCCTCAGACTGCTCCAGAAGGCGTGCTCGGGCCCACTCGTAGACCTCTCGGCAATGCGCTGGGCTCCCAGCGATTGGGCTGGGGCACGACCCACTGGCGACCAGCTCCTCGTATATGTAGCCGAATATGATGCTCTTCTCGTCGTTCAACTCGAAAAATTTCTTCGCTGCAGCCCTCATGACAGCACAGTTCTTCCCCCCTGGGCGAAAAGGCCCTTTCCTGAGTTTGCAGACCTGGATATATTCGAAGCGGACGGCTGAGAGGCCGCTCAAGGTCGTGGCAGTCACGACGCAACCGTGCATCAGGTGCAAGAAATCGGAACTAGCTGTCGCTCGGCAACGCATGCCGTTGAGGATGTACTGGATCGCAGAAAAACCAACCGGCCCCATGTCTGCCGATAAATGCAAGACTGGTGCATCCCGGACCCCGTTCACAAGTCTCAAACCAACTTCGTAATACATGCTCCCGTCAGCATTCACCACCACGGACCTATTCCTGGGCTCGGCTTCGCCAGGCACGCGCATGCTAACCAGCTTGCGCGTTTGGCCGGGCGCGAGCGGGGCCATCGGCCTGGCCGTCTGGAAGCGGGACAAACCCTGGCCAGTGACTTGGAACAGCCGGTGGTCAAGGGAGCGCAGCCAATCCACGTTCGCGAGCCTCTCGGCCCCCTCCTTTTTCAAGAAGTCCTCCAACTCGTGAACGGCGTGCGACGCTCGACCAGCGTTCTCGGCCTCGAACTGCGCCCTCAACGCCTGGATGGTCGACGCCTTGTATTCGCCTTGCTCGGCCACCGTGCGGGTGCGAGACTTCTTGGAGGAGGGGGGCTGCCAATCCTCCAGGACCTAACGGTGTCTAACAAAGCGATGCGCCGCCCGGGCCGTTGGACGCGTCTCCGCGGCCTTCCCAGTGAAGCTGTGGCTAAATGCTGGTGCGCCCCGCCAAAAAATGACGGATCGCGGAAATGACGGCGGCTATTTTGACAATGGCGCGCCCCCAGATTTTGACGGTACGGGCAACTTTTTTGGCGTTCAATTTTGACGTTTCGAAAATGACGGTGCAAAAAATGACGGCTCGCAAATCGTAGTTCTTTACTAATGAAAACGACGGTCCCAATTTTGGCGGCAACGAAAACGACGGGCCGCGACGGTACCGACAGACTCGACCGCCAATTGTTCACTCGCCCGTCAAATCGAATCCGGGGGCGCCATCCGCTGTAGAACCACCGTCATTTCTACAGCGCCATAGTTTCGCGAGGACCACCAAACATCTGAGTGCGAGCCCCCACTGGGAGACCACAGCCACGCGGCCGACGGTTCGAACGACCCAGTCGCCCTCGTTGACTGCCTGTGGCGGCAGGCACGCGTGGCGATCCGCAACCGAGACGATGCCCCACAGCATTTCACTGGCAGGCCGCCCGAGACGAGCTCCATCGACTGCCGCAGAAAACGCGGCGCCCGTCTGCGAAGCCTTGAATGTCATGCGACACGTCGCTCTGTATGCATTCAGCCCCCTACCCCTCCAATAACTGGCGTGGCCAAGGCTCCCAACTGCAGTGCAACTGCGACTGGCCTCTCCCGCGCTGCCGGCCTTCCCCGTCTGGATGGCCTCCTGCAGGACGTACTGCTTCACGTGGGGGTCGATGCGTCGTCGCTTCAACCTCCCAGGAACAGCAGCCGCAGCCGCGGCATGCCACTCAGTGTTGGCCCACGCCCCTGCGCTCTCCAGCACGAGCGCAGAAGCCCTGTCAATCTTCTGCCTGGTCCACGCTCGCAGAGCTTCACACTCTGACTTGCTCCGCAGCATATGGTCAATCACCATGAAGAGGTACTGCTGCGGAGAGTGGTCGGCGACTTCGGGAAGGGACTCACTCAGGGCGTCGACGAGGCAAGCGCACACCCCATTGCCGTTGGCACCCTGGCGGCAGAGACCTTTGATGCCTTCGGGCACCTCCCAATGCTTCTCATGCCTGATGCTCTCTCTGTTGATGGTGCACTCGAAGAAACGCCTCGCAACGCACCACACCTTCGCTCGCCGGTCGACGCCCCTAGCGGCCGCGCCGGCCTCAGACAGCAGAATAATGAGGCCCGCGGTGCTGCACCAATCCTCCTGCTCGGTGTCGCCAGGCACTTCCCCTGTACTGGACCTTTCTTTCGTCGACCGTCTCGACCTCCGTAGATGTTCGAGTTCTGGGAAGCCTCGGGACGTCAACCAGCCTGACCATTTAGACCAGCTCTTCCCAAGGAACTGGCAAAGGTGTCGCCCCTTGCCCTCCTTGAACATCAAACCAGGGAGGACGCGCCGAAGCTCCCAACGAAGATGGCCGCGGCCATCTGGCCCCCAGGCCTTCCATTTTGCACTGAAACGCATGCCCAGTCTGTAAACGCCGTCCAGATCCAAGAGCCCACCAAGACGAAGAAGGCACGACTCGCCACCCATCTCCGCCATGGTCGGCGCCCCAAGGACAGATGCTGTAGCCAGAGGTGCAAAATTCTTCTGAAAATCGCGGCGCGCTTGAGCCCAAATGGCAACGGCTATCCTGGGGGGGCCTGCCACAAATATCGAGATGCCCAGGCTACTCCGAACGAGACGCGGTTACACCTGGGCGTCCCAGACAAGGCCCCCTGGAAAGAAACCCTTGAATCCCCCCATGTCACGCGTAAGACTGGCCCTCGTGGGTCGTGAACCCTAGACCCTAGAGTGGGGACTCGGGGAGGGGTCCAAGCGACGGAGCTCCCAAGGACCTTCATATGGCACCGCGAAGGCCCGAAGGGACGAGCACTTACATAACTTTTGAACCCCGCATCCCAGACGGAAGATGTCAAGGCTGAGCCCACGCAAGAAGGGCCTCGAAGCGCTGTGCTGGGTGGCGCAGGACGCAGGTTTTACCTCCCCAGCGAACCCAGAGCCCGATGCCCGTCCAGGGCCCAAACAAGTTGGATTGAGCGTCAATTCCGCTTCCCCTCAAAAGGGCTATCACCGCCCGCTAGCGGCAAGGCTGTAAATTGGCCGGCCGGGTAAACGTCACCACATTCAGGCGGAGGCCGATGCTCACGCGACGCGCGAGGTCCTCAGGTGACGGCCAGCAGGGGATGGGGCCAAGGGCCACGCTTTGTTGTGCGATTTTGGGTGCACCATCGCATGCTTGCACACGACGGGGGGGACAAACATTTACACTGATAGCCCCAGACTCTGGATGGTAACGTTTTCCTGTACTGTCAAACGCGGCGGCAGGGGTACGCGTCTCCAGGGCACTCTCGAAGCACTCTTGGGGCCTTCATGGCATGCCGTCTTGGGCGCTTCCAAGATGGCTTGGAGGCGAAGCTCAGGAAATCAAAAATCCCAAGAGGGCCCGAAGAATGCTCCGCGGCGGGGCTCCTTGGGCGGGCCACTCACAGGCACGCAGGGGGCCCAGACAGAGGACCCAAGGAGCCCCAGAGATGGATCCCAGGGTATTTTGCTGAAGGACCCAAATACCCCCCCCCCACCGGGGCGCAAACAGAAACCAACTGGGCCTCAAGAAGAGGCTGCGGCAGGGCTCCTTGGGTCGGCCGCCAACGAGGCCACTGAGGCCCCAAGAGGGGGCCCAAGGAGCTTCGGATATCAGGCCCAAGGAGTCCTCAACAGGGGCCCAAGCTATGGTTGAGCCAGAGGCGCGCGAATCATCGTGCTTCGCTTCTGCCGTCGCTCGCTTCTACATGAAACCATGCTGCTGCTGATGATACCCCCAATGGTTATCCGCTGTCCCACTCCATGGGGTTGACGGTGCCGAGACCGTGCCTGCACGACGCTAGTCCTACAGCATGTCCCTACCATCCGACACCCACACTCGATGAACCAGGGCTTGCTTCGGGAATTCAAGGGGGTACGGGCAAAGAAGAGGAGAGCGAGAGGGAGAGAGAGGAGGGGAATAGAAAAGAGGGAAAAACAACTAGGCAAGACCTGTTGGGGCCTGCTTTACGCTCGGTCGCTTTCATCAAGTGGCATTGCTGCCCAGCGTGCGTGCGGAACGCTCGAATGCACTGCACGCGCGTGTGACCCACTGGAATACCTAGAACACAGCTTCGCCTTCGATTAATATACCCTCTGGTGCGCTTGCTCTGCCACGCGTGCACAAACAAGACGAAGCAACTCAGATGTGGTGAACGATCGTGGTACAAAGGTTCATCCGTGGGCCCCGCGTTGAAGGACAAGAAGAAACCGAATGGCCTTCGAATGGCTAGCGTCAAGCGTCATGCTGGTCAGGAGGGTGGCGAATGGAGAACTCGGGGCCCCGTAACCCCTTCGGGATCTTCCTGAATAGGCTTGGAGGGCCTTTGAGGCCCGCCTTGGGCTTCTCTTTGGTGTTTGGGGGTTCTTCTCGGTGCGTCTGGGGGTTGATATCTGAGCCCCCCTCGGCTCTTCTCTTTGGCGCTCCATAGGCCCGTGGACGGCCCGCCCAAGGAGCCCCTCCGCGGAGATTTCTCGGGGCGCACTTGGAACCTCGTTGGATTCGTCGTGGGGGGGGGGTCTGCGCAGACGGAACGAACACGTTTCCTCGCTGCGCTGGCTTAGCACTTGCTATTTCTGATTTCCTTTACTATTTACTCCTACCTGGCATTTTCACTCAATCCCAAGACGATTCCATGGAGGGTCCGATTATGCAGTATGGCATAGTCCCTGGTGAGCCCGTAGAAAAATCACGTATCAATATGCCGCTGGACTCAAGGGGGGTTGCCCCAGTCCTGTCAGGGATCAACGCACGATCCCTCTCTAACCTCGCAGGCTGCTGGGCGCAGGGAGAACGAAGCGAACAGAAAAACCAGAAACGGTAATTTCCCAGCTCCGCCGGGCAGGAGCAGGACCTTTTACGCAACGTGAAGTTTGAGATGATGGCTCCCCCGCGCATCGACTCATCGGCCGAACCGCACCCCTGGTCTACTAGCCGAAAGCTCCGCTGAAAAGGGAGGAAGCATTATGCAAAAAACTACGGTGCCCCTGCACGCCCCCACGATTTGCACGCACTGTGCGCGCAATCAACATGTTGCCAGCCTGCCACCAACGGACCCCGAAGTGGGCAGGGTGAACAAAATGAGCACCGTCGGCGCAGACGCACACTCCGACTCCAGCCTTGCGGCGCGTCGAGGGCATGGACGCTGAGCGGCCACGCGGCGCCCCCGCCGCGCATCGGCACTGGCACGCAAAAACCAAACATGGCGCAATGGCCAGCCGCCCTTGACGCCGCACGAGACGCCTGGACCTAGACAGCCAAACTAACGAAGGCAACTGGGAACCCGGACAATCCAAACCCATACATCTACCATGGGGCCCCCGACAATTCACACGCTAAAGCGTGATAAACTTGCACCTCGCCTCACTTCTCTGTCGACGCCTCCTCCTGGACCTCCTCATGCGTGTCGTCGTACACCGCGTCAGCGACGCCAAATCCAGTGATCTCCACGGGGCTCTGATTCTCGACGGCACGTGCATCCCCCAGACCTGGTTCGTCAAGCTCGGAGGGGGCGCCCGCGGCTTCCTCCGTTGCGTAGGGGTCACCTTCCCCCTCGTCCATCTCGTCGTCGGACCTGATGTCGAAGACGCTGCTCAAGGCCTTCATCACCTGTGCGGTGCCCGCGGGTTCCGCCAAGCCCGGCTCCAGCTTGCTAGGCGACGCCCCCGCGTCGTCTGCGGGCAGATCGATCTTGGCCTTCTTCGGGGTGAACACCGGCAGCCCCTCCTTGGGTTCCACCTTGGCGCGCTTGACGCGCGAACCTGGAATGTCGGCCTGCTTTTTCACGATGTGGTTCTTGAAGTCGTTGGCGAGCGCGTACGGTTTCATGTCCTCCTCGTTTGCGCTCGTCTGAGTGCTCTTGATCGCCATGTCCTCCTCGCTCCAATTCATGTCGATCCACAGCTGCTCTACGGTCTGGTGCGATGGAAGCTTCTCCACCTGGATGGATACCTCCTCCTCGGTGAATTTTTGTTTGGCGACGACCATTTTGCCGCACTCAGACATGCCGACGATCTCACAGAGACCATCCTTCGGCCAGTTGGGCGGCAACGCCAGCAACAGCCCGCGACGGCCTCGAACGACGCCACGCTGATAAGCGAGCTTGCGGATCTCACTGAACCAGCGGTAAGGCCCGTTCAAATCGAGACACTTCTTACCCGTCACAAACTCCCAAATGTGCAAATACTCCTGGTGGGCGGCAGCGACGCCCAACTTATCCATGCACGCTCGGAGGTTGGCTGATGTTAGGTTGTTGGGTTCGGCGCCTGGCAGCACTTCATCGCGAAGCAAGTTGCGACTCAGTCTGGTGAGATGCCAGTACTTTGTCGGAACTGGCCCAGCCGCGTCATCTGGTTTCTGGACCTCCGCCGACCCACTATGGACGGCACCCGCGCGTCTCTTGGCGGTTCGTTGCTCGACCGCCACAGCTTGATGACTTTTCTCCTGTTCCTCTGGCGTCGAAATCCTTTCGTCCGTGTAGCCGTGTGTGTCCATCAGCTTGATAATTTTGGGCAGGAGGCTCGGGCAATTTGCAACGCCTTTTCGAATCCTCGCCCTCCAAGCACGTTGCTGCGCCTCGTTCGCGCGCAGGTGCAAGTTGGTGGCTTCCTGCTCTGGATTCATTTGCTTGCGAACCATGTCTGCAGCCAGGGATACCGATCCAAGAGGAGTCGAAATGACGCAGAAGCTTGATCAGATAGGCTGCAGTGTGGGAGCGGCAAGGGTAAACAGCGATCGAGACGTGCAAACGACTTAATGCCTACTTGCGGACGCCAGGCGGCCCCATCATGCTTGAAAGAATCGCCAACCACTTCGGGGCCACGCCCCAACGATAGGTTCGTTTCCTGCACCTTCCCTCCTGCGGGGGCCCGCAGCGAAGCACGCGGGGGGGGCGCGGCGCGCGCGTCAAAACCCAATCAGGGACGAGGGGCCCGAGGGAGGCCACCAAGGGCCGATGCAGCCCCAAAGCCACCTAAAACCATCCGTTGGGAATTCCGAAGCCCTCCAAGACAACCCAGACGTGCCTGCGCCAACGCAACAGGTCCCCAAGCCAGGCAATAGAGGCCCAAAACAAAACCAAAATTTAACCAAGGGCGCCCAAAGGAGCCAGAAAAGGATGGCAGCCCATAGGTGCCGATTGCTTTACTTGCGCGCGGACCAACAGATGTTTCAGGAAAACCTCGGGGGATGGCCAACATGACCCAGGAGCTGGCCGCGACACCCTTCAGCACATATTACAACTGGCCTCGGACTGTCCGACGGGGCGCGGACGTAGCCGGAGACTTCGCCGATGCAGCTCAAGACAACATCCAAGACTCCCGTTCGACCGTCATCCCGGTCGCTCCCAAGGCCACACAACACAACACGTCGAATGCCCCGAATCGGTAAACACCGTCGCCCTCATGGCACCCAGGCGCGCGGAACGCAACAACGCCTGCCTCGCAGATTCTGGGGGGGGGCACCCCCGCCATCCTACACGAGCGCCCCAAGTTCCTAATGTAATTTATGCGGCAGACAGCTGGTAAGCCGAGTGGCAATGTGGCGTTTGCTGCGTGGTGCAACCCCATCGCAATGTGTGCTCCTCCGCTAAAGCCCTCATCCGATTCAACCCATCCCCGCGCCTCTTTTGAACCATGCGCCCGCGCTACTGAAACTTACACCCTGCCCTCCCCTCCTCACCCTCCTTCGCATGCCCGCGTGATCCTTCCCTCCTCCTCCTTGTCCTCGCCTTTTTATCATTATCTGAGTGTTGCGTCCGTCTTCCGCTACGTTTAGCGGTCATCGGCCGCGGGCTGCACGCTGCCAAACCACGGCGGACAGGCGGCAGCAACGACACGCAACCGCATCAGGCAGCAGAAACAGTCAAACATGAAATGGTAGGGCTGGTGAGTGCGACGCCAGCCTGGCTAACCCAACTGACACACACACACACATACGTTGTTACACCTGGCCCTGATTCAATCCGCGGGGACGGATCGCTTTGGCTACTCGCGCCTGGCCCTACAGTTTCAAAGCTGCAGCGCGCGCAGCAGGCAGCTCGATCAGGGGAAGAATGACTTTCCTCTGGCCGCCAGCGAATAGCTACCTCAGAAGTAGACACGTGCAATCTGACGGACCACTGTCAATGCTCCCGGGGGGATGGGGGGTCGGCCCAGACCGCCCAGGACAAGCCTCATGGCACTTGGGGGGCGTGCCTGGGGGGCGCCCGCGAGCACCGCCGACGGAGACAATTCTCTGCGCGCGCTTTTCCTGGGGACCCCTCTGTGCCACAAAATCCTACCTAGGATGAGGGCCGACCGAAGTTGTGCAGGGAGAGCGCGCGCTGCGCTCCCGTTTCTGCGGCGGGGCAACCACCGCTGCTGCGATCACGGCATGGCGAGGATCGTCGATGCACCGCCATTGCGGAGCGATGGTCGGCGATGCGCGTGCTCGCAACGATAAGGGTAAACAAGGTAGTATACAACATACTACTACACATTTTGTTTGAAACACCCCCCAATCCTTAGGACCATATCCCTCGGGACCACATCTTTGAAACCCCGAGAAACCGAACTGGAAACCGGCGGCCGATTCGATCCCCTGGGCCGGCACGAGGCGCCAGCGAGGCGCCCGCGGCGAAACCGAATCAACCGAAGTAACCGAAGAGGGCGCGACGACGCAGGGACTCCGCAACAACCGAACCGACCGAACCGATCGATTCTAACCGACACCGACGCAACCGAACCGACCGGTTCGCGGCCGTCCATGCTCCTGGCACCCCAGACTCTCATCGCCACGGCGGGGTGCTGCGCGTACTCCAGATTTCGTAATAAAAGGGAGGGGGTCTGGACCCTCCAAGACAAGCCATTTCAGACCTCCCCCGTGGGAGAACCCTCCAAAACATCGTCCCCAGACCCCCCAGGCCCTCCAAGATAGCCTGGAAGAGACCCCCCCCCCGAAATCAGACCCCCCTCCCTTTATTACGAAATCTGGCGTACCCAGGCGGAGTAGTCATGACGAGCCCAAGACCGAGCTCCCACTGCATGGTCTTCTGGGCGCGCGCACGGGCGCGCGTCGACCCTGCGGCGCCGGCGCGCACAACACACACAGCACAATTGCAGCCATCGTGCTAACACCAGGGAATACGAGACCCGATGCTGAATTTACTCTCCCGCAGAGACTGCGTCCTCACAAGGGTGCTTGGCGTGCTGTTTTCAATCCTTTCACAAGGTTCCCGCTGGCCTCTGGCGCCTGGCCACCACACAAAAAACACCATACCGGCACAAAATGGGCTCCAAGATCGCCTACAAGACAATCAACAAGGCACTAGCTGGCCTCCAGGACGCTTCCAGACCGTCAAGATGGCCGCAGGACGGCCCCAGGGCCCCAAGACGCCCCAAGAGGGCTCCAAGAGGAACTCCACGAAGCAATGAAGACATAGGTGTGCCTTAGGTTGTTCCCTGATTCGAGTGCTCTCGCCTTTCCGGGCTTCCGATTCTCCAAGACGGCCCCATATGCCCTAAAGTTCGCCTCACGACGGCCCGAGAGGCCTCCAAGAGGCCACCGTCCATGAGACCTCCAAGATGCCCATTCGACTGCCCAAGATGGCCCCAAGACGGCCCAAGAGGCCTGCAAGATAGCCTGAAGGCGGGCCCCACAGACCTCCAGGACGGCTCATAGAGCCCAGAGAGGCCCACGACGGCCTCCGAAGGCTAAGAGCTCACTTAGAGACCCCAAAAGCCCCCGAGGGGCCTCTCAGAGACCCACAAGAGTCTCCAGGAAACCAAGAGTCTCCAGGAACCCCCCCAGGAAGCCCCAAGGTGGCCTCAACAGGCCTCCTTCTGTCCTTCTCCTCGTGCTTCCCGTCGTCCTCCTCCCTCTTTTCTCTCCTGAGTGTTCCCCCAAGCAGTTCCACAACGGCCCAGGAAAGAAGTAAAGAACTGTAGTGCGGAAGCGGCCGAGAGAAAACCGAACAAGGAACCCGACCCGCGAGCTGCAACAGGGGGGAACCCAAGGCACCCTGAACGCAGCTCCTCAACGCCTGCGGGACGTCACCGCGCAGCGCGCGCAACGAAGAAACCCAGCAACCCAGGGTACCTTCGTGAGACACACATTGCCTCTTAACGTGTGTACCGACTGTAGTCCAGTTGCTTGGCCAGACATTGGCCCAACATCTGGCCGCATGGACGCTTCCAAAAGGCATGTGAGCGACGGTCAGAAACGGGTCGCAGGCGAGATGGCATAGCGACCTTCAGCGGCATCTTACGCGGGCCGCCAACGCGGTACGCTACACTGGAGACGAGTGCACTTACGCGCGACCTCACGCGGGCAGCTCACGCGCCAATGTCGGCGAAGCCCATACCGTTTTTGCTGCGTCGCTCGGGTGGCGGCGGCAGCTCGTCGCACAGGCATCCCCGAATAATGGCCTGGAACGTCTGCAGGTCGACGCCGGCCATGGGGTCCGCGCCCCTCTCCTGGCAGATCAGGCGGTACTCCTCAGACCACTCCTCCCGCGTTCCTGAGAAGGCAAATATCTTGCATGTCTGACAAATCACATATTTATACATATATATAATACATACACACACATATATATACATATACATATACACAGTAAAAACAAACAAACAAAAACATGAGCAAAACCTATCGGAGCGCAGCGCGGATCTCGTGCCTCGGCGCTGAGCCCCCCTCCCTGGCGCACGGAGCGCCGCGGGGGGCGGCGCCGGAGGAGTCGCCAGGGGGTACCACCGCAGAGCCAGGAAATCCGCGCGGAGCTCCAAAAGTTTACGCTTCCGCTGCGTTTCCTTCCTCCTGCTTACGGGGGGGGATCGAGGGGATCTCAGTCCTGCGCTCGTTTCTGGCCCTCTGGGCTTCCGGAGGCTTCCTCCCTCCTCCTGCCTGCCCCCTCCTTCCGCCTGCCTGCCCCTTCCAAAATGTATAGTTGTGCAGTGTACCCATCGGTCGGAAGAAATAGGCAGGAGCATGAAGTAGAAGGCGGTGAAAGCAGATTGGGTTCCGTCCGCCCCCCAAGGAGGAAGGAAAAGAGGAAGCCACTCGAGCGTTGAAGCAGGAAGGCCCTCAAAGTAGACTGGGCCCCGGGAATCCGATAAAATACCTACTTCCAACGACCGATGAGTAGACGTGCAGAGCATCATTCTTCTTCGGCTTCCGTGGAAGCCCGTGCGGCTGGCGAACCGCAGCAGCGCCTCCTCGTCCAGCAGGCCGCGCCCGCCCGCGTCCAGCGCGCCGAAGAGCCTGGCCGCCAGCTCCGCGCGCCGGCCCTCCGCGGCAGGAGGCGTGGAGGCCTTGCGCGGCGCAGGGTGTGTGCCACTGGAGGCCTCCCGGATGGGGTCCGGGCAGACGGGGTCGAAGGATCGCGCCGCATCGCCACCGCATCGCCGATGCATCGGCGATGCATCGGCGAGGCATCGGCGACGTCGGCGATGCATCGAAGGCGTCGGCGTGGGGAAACACGGACTCCGCATTGTCGATGCATCGGCAATGCGGCGCGATCCTCTGGCCCCATCTGTTCTGGCCCCATCTAGGAGGCCCAGAGAAACTGCGGGTCGAACGCCCACACAGATCCACCTCCTTCCTCCCCCCTCCCTCCTCCTCCTCTGAGTGTGCTCCTCTCCCTCCTGGGGGAGGGGAGGCGGGAACACGGAGTGGATCTGTATCGCTGTCCTCCTCCGAGAAACGTCGACCTGGAATCGGCGACTCCTCGCCGATGGATCCGCGATCTGCCCCCGATTACTACACCGGCACGCTGCCGGGGCGGGGCGCGGCCACACAGGCCTCCAGCGCCGAATAAGGGGCAGTGGGGGATCGATCGCCTCCCCCGTTAGCATGTCGCCACAGTGAGGCTCGTAGTCTGACTTTCGGGTTCGGGGATCCTCTGACCCGGGTCAATCAAGACCCAGGTCAGTCAGGCCCTGCAAGATCCTGCAAGATCCTGCACCCAAACCCGGGTCAACGCGAAGGATCCTGCAAAATCCTGCAGGATCCACCACCCAAAATCTCAGCACCCCCGAACGCCCCTTGGGACGCAGAAGGACGCACTAGTGTTACGTGTCCTCCTCGGACATCTAGCTTGTATATACGCGTGCGTGCGTCCGACCCGAACATCCAGCACAGCCATCTTGTAGCAGATTCCCGAGCAGTACGGCCAGAGAGCACCCGACAAAGCTCATGTACCATGAAATTTCTCGGCGCGCGCGTCGCCCCCTTGGGCCGACGCGCACACAGCATCAGTACGTTTGGGCGGCGCTGAGCTCTCGACCGGGCGCAGCCGCGAGGAGGAGGAGGAAGAGGAGGACGAGGACGAGGACGAGGAGGGAGGAGGAAGAGGAGGAGGAGGAGGAGGAGGAGGAGGAGGAGGAGGAGGAGGAATAGGGGGTCTGGGCCATCGCCCACGGCCTGGGGAGGGGGGGGGCTCGACGCCGCCGCTGAAGGCACCTCGGGGCTAGAAAGAAGCCGAGACCCGACGACAACGCCCAAAAACCTCGAACCGGCGAAACCGTCCCCCCCTCCCCTCCCTCCCTCCTCCCTCCCTCCCTCCCTCCCTCCTCCTCCCCTCCCCCCCTCCTCTCTCCCCCTCCTCCTCCTCCTCCTCCTCTCCTCCTCCTCCCTCCCTCCCACCCTCCCCCTGCCATTGCCCCTGAAGCCTGTGACGCCGTCGCTACTCGACGCGGCAAGCCCGTCGGGAGCATGAGCCGCAGCTCCTCATCCGTGCAGTAGCAGCCGCGCTCCGTCCTGTCGTCGACCAGGTCGGCGAATAGCGCGAGAGGCAGGCCGAACGCGGGGTCGGCTTGCGCATCGTGACAGAGCCGGTTGTACTCGGCGACCCAGTCGGCCGCGGTGCCCTCGAAGCCAGCGGCGACCGCGAAGACGCGGAGTTCCCCCATGCTCGGGCGCGCCAAAGAGGGGGGGCAGGAAATGGGGTTGGAGCGGGGTTTCATCTAGGTTCTGGCAGGTTTACTTGAATGACATCCCGACCCTTCGGATGGGGGAAAAACAATGTCATGGACGGCTCAGAAACATAGTAAACCGGGTTCAATAAAAATCCCTGTGGGTTCAACATTTGTCTGGCCTTGGAGGCACGATCCATGTGAAGGGTGTGCCAAATTGGCCAGTCGACGCCGTCTGAGGTCCCGGGCGTTGGGAGCTCAATAACAATTGCTTGGTCCTGCAAGGGTGGGGAGGCCCAGTTGAGTTGTTGGGGATTCAAACTAACCCTCTGGCCCAAAAGGATGGGGAAGGGGCAGGCCTTGCATTGCATTGCGTCGCAATGCGTTGCTATACAGTGCAGTGCATTGCGTTGCATTGTGCTGCGATGCATTGTATTGCATTGCATCCTGTTGGATTGCATTGCGTTGCGTTGCATTGCGTTGCGTTGGAGTGCATTGCGTTGCATGTTGTTGCGATGCATCCTGTTGCATTGCATCGTTTGCGCTTGTAGTTTGCGTTGCTGTGGGTTGCAGGCGAGGGGCGAGGGGAAGACAGAAAAGGAGGAGACCAGAGGAAGGTAGAGAGGAGGGGGGAAGGGGAGGAGTGAGGAGGGATAACACGGAGCGTGTAAGGGGGAGGTGGAAACGGGGAGAAAGAAGGCAACAAGAGGGGAAGGATGGTTTTCTCTTGGACCCCGCAGCGCTGACGGGTGACGAGACGCGCATTACGTTACAGTGCCTTGCGTTGGATAGCGTTGCGTTGTATGGCATTGCAGTCCGATTCGTTGCGTTGAATCCCACCAGCCCTCTGGGCGTCGGTGGTTTAGAGCGTTGTTCCTCTTCCACCCCTCCTTCTCCCCCTTCGGGGAGGGGTTTACCCCTCCCCCTACCCCCTCCCCACTGACCTGGACAGACGGGGGCCGCGATCGGTCAGAGCGTCCAAAACGGCCTCGGCGAGGAAGCCAAGCTCATTGATTTTACTATGGTTTGGGCCCCATTTTTGGCCTTCTGAAGGGGGGGGGCTCTAATTTAGGAACCCCCTTCTTTGATCGATTTCCTCCACGATGGCCGCAAGAGGCCCCCAGGATGCCCCAAGAGGCCGCAGGATGGCGCCAAAATGGCCCCAAGAGGCCCCCCAAAAGGCCCCCAGGAGGCCCCCAAGGTGCTCCCAGAGGCCCCAAGATGGCCCCAAGAGGCCCCAAGAGGCCCCCAGGATGCCCCAAAGATGATTCCGAACGGCCCACAGAGGCCCCCCCCGAGGCACCCAAGACGCCGAAAAACCCCTAACGGCCGCAGGCGGAAGCGCACAGCGGCGGGCAGTCACGGTCGGGCCGCGGCCGTGGCTAAATTCCCGAGCGCGCGCGGCGCGGCTCAGGCGGCGGGAGCGGCAACCCAGGGTGTCTGAGGGGCCAGCGTCGTGCAATCCCAGGGAGTCTGAAGCGTCAGCGCCTGAGACAAACGCGCAAGCCATCCCAGGGAGTCTGTGAGGTCAACCCTGAGGCGAGCTAGGCGCAGCCAAAATGGCGCGCAGTCGCCCCGACGCGTCCGAATAAGAAGAACCGCGTGGTGGGACAATCACCGTGCAGGAAGGTCACCCAGGGAACCTGACGGGTATGATCAGGTAGTACTGGTGACGTCGTCCAGCAGGACAGGCTCTGACGGCGCCAGCGAACCGTCGCAACATCAGAAAACGCATCCACCAAGGAGTCGAGGCCAGAGTAGCCAGTGGACCCAACCACGGCGGAGCGATGCGCCTGCGTACAGAAACCAGCAACTGGTCAGGACGCAGCGGGGTACACAAATGCACAGCGAGACCGCAGGGCTCAAGAGTGACGTGTACCGAACAAGTATGTGACGTAGCGCCAAGCGGCTAACTCAACCATGCGTGCGCGCTCGATGGACGCAACCGTCGTAGACCCAAGACGGCAAAACCATCACAGTCACAGAGTCCCAGTGAGTGCCGCACACCTGAATGTGCGGGAGAGCAACGAGAAGGGCCGAACCTCCATACTCCGAAACCGAGCAGCAAGAGGTAGACGCGTGTCAACGGTGAGCGGAGCAGATCGGGTAAGACCGTCGGTCCAGCCAGTGAGGCAGCCAGCCAGGGGTGCCTTCCGCCCTGGCGAAGCACACCGCGGCGATGGGCCGCCCATCCAACCGTGCCACGTTGCTCCCAGGAAAGAAATAAGACGGCTGAAGGCCGTTGCAACTTGGAAGTCCCAGGGAGTGAGCGCAGAACCGAGGGCGGGGCGGGCGCCGCCAGGTCGCCGACCGCGAAGGCTGCGCGCCAGGCAGGCCTGGCAGTGAAAACAGCTACAGTGAGGCCCGGGGCCACAATGGCCACGCGCAACACGAGGAAGCGGCGTGGCCGGTATTGCTGGCACGCGTACTTGGGTCCAAAGGCAGGAAGTGCGCGCGCCAGGAGGGGCGGCGGAATGCCGCAGGCGGGTCCGAAGACCAAAGCACGGCTGAAGGCCGTCGTCTGATAGAGAATCCCAGGGCACAGGCACGCTCAGGTGTGAGCCCCAATCGGTCCCAGGGCAGCTTAGCTGGGCACGGGACCAAACGGGCCACTGGTGAGAGACACTGCAGCGGGCCAGGGGCCAACTAGGGTCTGCAGGCTGCGCCCCCATACGCAGCGAGGCAGATGGCATTGCTGGTCGGCACACTTGGGTCCAAAGGCAGGAAGTGCGCGGGCCAGGGGGAGTGGGCAGGCTGGCTGCCACACAGTTGAGGGAGAAGTAAGGCAGCTGAAAGCTGCGCGTAGTGTGTAGTGAGTTGTCGCTCAGGATGTAAATCCTGGATGAAGGGGGGAGTGGGCTCAGTCTCTCCATCGGTGTCTCTTTTCGTCTCGGTCTTCGGGTCTGCCTCCCCCTCGCTTGCCACCCGTCTGCCAGCGGTCGCCATGCCAGCCTTCACTCCAGTCGCTCTGCCAGCTACCCCAGGTGTCCCAGGAGCTCGTAGCACGGTCCCGCCAGCTGTTTTGCTGGTGGTTGCCTTTGCCCCTGCCGTCGGGTCTGGTGTGTCGCAGGTAGTTGGCCCGCAGTTTGTCCCAGTCAATGCGATAGCCATACCTTGCGCCCATCAGGTAGGCGTTGTACCCGCAGCCCTTCCAGTCGTCGAGGAAGTTGATGATGGTCGCATCCGTGTGCAGTCTCGGGTCTGATTTGAGTCCCCTGGAACCAGGGAGCCAAATGCGCTGCGTGTGCGCGGTCCACAGCGCGCAGAAAACTGCACCCAACGCCGACTGGTACCTGGCGAGGCGTCTGGCGGGTGTCTCGTCGCTACGCTCCAAGTCCACCGTGCCCAACCAGACCTTATACATGGGCCCCCCATGCGAGTCGGTCAACAGGTTGAGCGCATCGCGCTCCGTCGAGCCTGTCGGGCGAGGGTGGGCGCGTCTATATCCAGGGACCTGTGGGGTACTCAGTGGAGGGCGCTCGGTCCGCACGTCACCCCTGTCGCGGGCGCTTTCCTCGTCCTCAGATCTCCCGGCAGCACTGGTGCTGCGGTCGGGATTCGCCGGGCCATCCCCGGCGGCAGCCGGTTCACGTTCGGAGGTGGGTTCAGAACTGTCTGTCGATGGGCTCCGCCGAGGCGACTTGCCGTCTGGGCCATTGTCGTCGACCTCCGTGGCCGAGCCCGAGCAGGGTGCAGGAGGAGGGGGCTCACCTTCTCCGTAGTCGGGCGACTCCACCCTCTCCGTAGGGGGGGTCACGTCCTCCCCGCTCTCATCCTTGACCGCGTGGTCGGGCGGGTCTGGGAGGCCAAGACGGGAGTCGTTGTCTCTCGTGCCCAGGAACTTGTCCGTGTCGGCCGCCGTAGGGGTGTCAGGCCTGTCCTCATTCATGGTCTGCACGACTGGCGGAGGTGACTCGGCCAGGGAAGTGATGGACGTGGAGGTGAGGGCATCGGCACTGAGGCTGAGTAGGAAGCTCGTCAGCGTGCCCATTTCGTGTCTGATGGGACTAAGGCCACTTGCCGGGGCCAGGCTCGTGGCGCACCTCACCCAGGCCTCGCTATGCTTCTCGCCGTTGGTGAGGTGGGCGACGACCCGCGCCGCAGCCACACGCTTACTCTCCCAGCGCTGGTTGGGCGGGGCGCAGTTCCCAGGAATGCATTGGCCGTGCACCGCCCGGAGAAACTCAGTCAGACGTCCGTCCGGCCATGAGTTTTCATCACAACTATGCTCTGGGATGCTGCTGTCGCGGTTGGTGAAGCAGAACTGTCTCCAGGTGAAGTCCAGCCCAGGGTGGAAATCACGGAGGTAGGTCACGAGCTGTCGCTGCGCGGACAGTCCTCCACTGCCTGGTCCGTCCCTGGGGTCGTTTGGGCCCAGCGTGAGGTTGTTGACCTCCCTGTTGTCCAGGAGCGGGCCCTGCGGTACTGGCAGATCTGGCAGGAGCTCCATGAGCTGTGCTAGGGATCTGGGAGCTTGTTCAGCTGCGGCGGCCGTACCACTCGCGGCGGTAGACCCAGGGAGGTTGCTCGCTGCGGCCTTGGTGAAGCAATCCTGGGCATTGGAGTGCGCACATAGCCATGGGAGAGAGTCCCATATGTCCACTGATACCTCAGCTCCGATCTGGCTACTGAGCGTAGGAAGGACAGGGGCCTCGGCTGGGTATAGCGCTCTAAAATCCCGATCCAGGATGTGGTCCAGGGTAGCAGGGCCGATGTTCCATACAGGGACCAGGCAGCGTCGACAGCACCAGGTGGCATTCCACTTGCGCTCCCACCAGGCTATGGCTCGTTTGTCGATGGGAGGCAGCCCGGCCTGCTCAGACACCCCTATCCCTTCCGCTGGCTTCCATATGAAGCAGCCCAGGGGCGGGGCTCCTGCTTTCCAGACGAGGAGGGGAGCCCCCGGGGGACATGCGTCGCACCGAACAGGGTATCTCTGGCTCTGGGCAGCTTTGAGGCCGAACCGCTCGTCTCGGATCCGTAAGATGGGAATGGTG